GGAATCATTAAAGAATTTGAGGAAAGTTGCGTGTTTCCTTGGTGCTATACTGCACCCTGACTGGCTCATCTCTTCCTTGTGACCCCCTCTGTGTCCAGTTGTCTAGAGATGGGCTTTGGGTTTCTACTCCATGCTCCCAACCCCCCCCCCAACCCACCCCCATTCACCTTGGGTATGATTTTGTTCTGGTTCTTAGATGCCTGATACCTGATCCCATCCACACCTCATGATCATATAGGCTAATGTGCTTCTTACATGTGGGCTTTGTTGCTTCTTAGCTAGATCGCCGCTTGTTTACCTTCAGGCCTTTAAGACTCCAGACTCTATATCTTTTGATAGCCGGGCACCATCAGCTTTCTTCACCACATTTGCTTATGCACCTATTTTGTCTTCAGCAATCGTGTCGGGAAGGTGAGCATCATAGAATGCCAGATTATTAGAACAAAGTGAGAGAGTACTTGAGTTGAGGCCCAATGTCCATCTGCAACCTTAATTCTTAACATAGAGTTAAAAGTACATAGATCTATTACCCTCTCGTTAATATAAATATATTTACTTTTTTTTTTAATCATTTCATTGGGAGCTCATACAACTCTTCAAAATCCATACATACATCAATTATATAAAGCATATTTGTACATTCTTTGCCCTCATCATTCCCTAAACATTTGCTCTCCATGTAAGCCCCTGCCATCAGCTCCTCATTTTTCCCCCTCCCTCCCCACTACCCCCTCTCTCATGAACCCTTGATAATTTATAAATATTATTTTGTCATATTTTATACTGTCAGGCATCTCTCTTCACCCACTTTTCTGTTGTCCATTCCCCAGGTTCCTCCTCTGTACCCCACCCTCCCTCCACCCTCCTGGATATTTACATTTCTACATGCTCATATTTAGACCTCTATAAATGTCCCTTGTCTCCTGGTTGTTTCCTCTATTTCCTTTTACTTTCCTCTTGTCCCACCATCATGTTCAGCTTTCATTCGGGTTTAGTAATTCCTCGCTGCTACATTGCCCTTGATGCCCCACTAGGCATCCTACGTCCTTTTCTCCATTGATTTTAGTTCTTGTCCGTTGGTTGGTTTCTTCCCATTCCCTTCCTCCCACCTTCCTTTTTCCCATATCCCCCTGGAACCAAAAGCCCTGTTCTTTTCATCTCTGAATTGTTTATCCAGCCTATCTTATGTAGATAGACATGCAGAGACATTAATAAGTGCAAAAACCGGGCAAAGCCAAACAAAACAACAAAGGAAGTAAAAACCAACAAAACAATAACAACTAAAAAGAACAAAAACAAAATAACAACAAAAAGAAAGCCACTGACAAAAGTGGAAAAGCCTGTAAATAGTTGAAGGTCTGTTTGTTGGCCTTTACAAGTGTTTTCCAGTCGAGTCTGATGGGATTCCACACTCTGTCTCCAAAGTCTATTTTTGGTATTCCCCGGGATTTCATCACTTTGCTCCCCTTACTGCTCTGTTTCATGTTCTTAGTGTTTCGCCCCAGTGTGATGGGGTCAGATTGGGCACAATTCCTATACTGTGTCTCCAGTGTTGTCCCCCATAGTGCTATGGTTCAGTGAGGGACGTCGTGTCTCGTGGTGGGGCCGGCCCTATGGTCCTCTCTGTGCGCTGTCTGCTCTGAGCAGGAACATCATCCCCGGGGCTTGGTGTCCAGGACGTGCTCCCCTTCCTCTCCCTCCCTCTTCATTTGTCTGCTCTGAGCAGGAACATCGTCCCCGGGGCTTGGTGGCCAGGACGTGCTCCCCTCCCTCTCCATCCCTCTTCATTTGTCTGCTCTGAGCAGGAACATCATCCCCGGGGCTTGGTGGCCAGGATGTGCTCCCCTCCCTCTCCCTCCCTCTTCATTTGTCTGCTCTGAGCAGGAACATCATCCCCGGGGCTTGGTGGCCAGGATGTGCTCCCCTCCCTCTCCCTCCCTCTTCCTTTCTCCAGCGTGCTCTAATCAGATGCACCCCTCTCCCCAAGCTGTAGCCCCAGTGCTGTCCTCTGAAGTGCATTCTTCTGGGGGCAGGAGGTATTATTATTTTCATATATTACACCGTCCACTGCCTCCCTTTGCCAATGTAAATTCTTCTTTTAAAGGAGCTCTGGTGACATAGTGGGTTACTTGTTGGCCTACTAACCACATAGTCAGCAGTTTGAGCCCACCAGCCTCTCTGTGGGAGAAAGATGAGGCTTTCTATTTATTCACACCAAAGGGGTAGTTTTGTACTAGCTCCATTGATTTTTATCACTTAAAAATCTCTTGAATCCATCCATTCATCTACTTCGATGGTTTTCTTGTTCTTCATGATTACACTCTTTTTCTGGGTTTTCCTCTATCTCAGTACAATGAGTTTGTTTTCTCATTCTCTTGTATTAGCTTTCCTTTTGTTTACGTTCTTCAGTGTTGGTATTATTCCAGGGATTGCTCTTTTTTGGTTTTTAAAAATCATTTTATTGGAGGCTCTTGAAGCTCTTAGAACATTCCATACATCAATTGAAGGGATTGGTCTTAAGAAGCTTTCTTTTTCCCTATCCTTACTCCCATTTCTTCTCTTGTTTCTTGGGAAACTATCCCAGTGGTAGGGAACCTTTTTCTGCCAAAGGCCATTTGGATATTTATAACCGTGTGCATGGGCCAAACTTGTTAAACATTTAATTAACTCGCCCCTAATGTAAAAGAAGAAAGGTGGGACTTTGTACTCCTCTCAAAAGGCACAGTCTCAGAAACTCACAGGTGCCGTTCTCCCAGCCCTCGAGTTGCTCGCTATGAGGGGTCACTGACTTGATGGCCGGGAGAATGTGAGGTGTGCACTGTCAGCTGAAATGGGGTGCTCCCCACCACTGCTGTGTTCAAACTCCTATCTCTTTGACTGCTAGATTGATGCAAATTCCAGTTCTGACCTTGTTATGGACTCTAGACATACCTAGCCATTTCCTTCTTATTCCAACACATAAATTAGAGTCTACCAGGCATGCCATACTTTCTTTTTCAAAAATAGCATCCCTGGTTTCATCACATCTTACTCTCTTATCAGATTTTCTAAGTCGCTTAGTTATTCAAGCAAAAAGCTTAGGTGTCATCCTTGATTCCTTTTTTTGTATCATCACCCTCCCCTATTTTCTCTACCATACCATCTCCAGGTCCTGATAACTTCTCTATGAAACTAAACTTGAATTTGTCTACTTCTCCAGCTCCTCTGCCAGCATTCTATTTCTACTACAGTTACCACTGTCCTGGGCCACACAATCAACCTCCTAACCCGGCTCTCTGATGGCTGTTACACCCTGTTGGCTGTTGTCTACATAGGATCCAGATGGATCTCCTGAAATTGTAAATCAGAGGAGGTTGTTCCTCCTCTTGAAACTCTCCAACAAGCTTTAATCATTCTTGGGATTCAACCTGTCCCTACTGCATACTTTCCTTTTCTTAATACTGCTGAATACAAGGGACATGGCAACTTGTTTGGAACATAAAACCCCTTCCATTGAGTTGATTCCAACTCATAGCAGCCCTGGAGGACTGAGTAGAGCTGCCCCTTGGGGCATTTGAGAGTAAATCTCGATGGGAGTAGACAGCCTCATCTTTCTCCCATGGAGTGAGTGGTCTGTTCAGACTACTGACCGTTGCAGTTATCAGCTCAGGGCATGACCTGTTATGCCACTAGAGCTCACTTGATTTCTTTGTGGGATGAAACTGAAGAGTCACATTCAGTGTCTGTTAGTGCAGAGCTGGGTATTTCTCCAACATACTGACCCGTCTTCTTTTCTGCTAGAAGCAAGGAGAATTAGAGGAAGAAGATGAGAATCTCCCTATACAAGAAGTATCATTTGATCCAGAAAAAGCTCAGTGTTGCCTAGTGGAAAATGGACAGATTTTAACTCATGGCAGTGGAGGAAAAGGATATGGATTGGCATCAACTGGAGTAACTTCTGGGTGCTATCAGTGGAAGGTACGTAGAATTCCAAACAGGTATTTTTTTTTTTTTTGTCTCTTAGTCCTTTTCCCCCAGGCTTTATGGAAAATGTTTGGAAAACAAAGAATGAATAAAGGAAATTTATATGTACGTCCCCCATACACACAACTTTCTACTATTATGTGTAATGTTAGATGGAAACGTCATACTATTATTTTATAACCCTGCTATAAGTCTACAATTATATTTTTTAAAAAGTTGAAAACTCGTGTTCTTCTCATGAGGGGTCACATAGAACACACCCTTCTCCCAGCCGTGAAAATGCAGCAGCGTGTGTCTGTGCTGCGTTTGCCTGGGAAGTACATTAGCAAATCTGCAGCCAAGGTTTTTATAGAATCTGAAAATCTTGGTCCCTTCTGTTTGCCGTATACCAAAGTTTGGATCCCAGAGGGAAAGCAGACATTCAGCACAGACTTTTATTTGCACAAATAATTTTGCTACCGTCGGCCACCCTTATCAGTTATGGAAAGTTTTTTTTTTATTTAATCATTTTATTGGGGGCTCTTACAACAATCCATCCATCATTTGAATCAAACACATTTGTGCATGTGTTGCCATCTTCATTTTCAAAATATGTTCTTTCTACTTGAGCCCTTGGTATCAGCTCTTCTCTCCCCCTCCCTCCCTCGATAAATTATAAATTATTATTATCTTCATATCTTACACCATTTGCCATCTCCCTTCACCCATGTTTCTGTTGGTTGTCCCCCTGCCTGGGGGTGGGGGGGGTT